GACATGTGAGGAAATCTGTGTGTGTACACTGCGGGGCGTGTGTTTATGCGCGTGTGTTTATAGTCAGGCCTCCCTAAGAACATCTGCCCCCGCGATAGCCTGACAGAAGCCAGCTATGTATACAACCGATCGGGGTCGGGCTGCGGGCTACGAGCGCAACCCTGCGACCAGCTCACCTTCTCGAAGCTTCGGACCGGTTTGGGGTCTGGTTTTGTCGTCGTTCACGTGAATTAGTGGCAAAACTCTCTTTGGCCTGAAACGACCATGCCACATTAAGAGCGAAGCCATTTCAGAACCCGCTATTTGAATGTTTTCATTGCGAGGCCGAGCAAGCAGTTGGCTGCACCTAGAGGGAAATGAAAGGCCAAAGCAGTCCCTGGTAGCAGGCAATTATTTAATATTGATTGACTTGAATGAGAACAGGACGCATTTGTACCCTGTGATTACACAAAACATAGACTGCCTCGAGTGAATGAATCTGTTGTAAATCCCTGCCGCCGCACACTATCTTACACAAGCGCTCAACCACAATGCTCTTTGCATAACACGGCTCTGTGTTCTTTGCAGACTTAAGCATAACTGTGTCACACGGGTGCTTTACTGCAGGGAGACTCTAGTATCTGTTTGAGCGGCAAACTTATGGAGTATTGATTGAAATGTTAGGAAATGTCTCACGCCGTATGGAAAGTGTAATCTCTAATAATAGGTGGGGGGTGGGGGCGGCCATGCTGATTGTGTGGATAATGCAGAGAGAGAAGAAGTAATTGGTGAGGGAACAGATCTCCTGGTGGGATAATTACCACGCTGATATCAGGGGGAATTGAATACCTGTTGTCGTTTGTGGAGAGCGTGCATATGTTTGTTATTTTACATGATTTTATGTATTGTAAAGGCTGAAGAGAACGAGAGAGTAATTATGCGCCCAGCTGCAAAATCGAGACATTAAGAGAAGAGCCGGTGCCTGCATCTGGGGCCTGGCACGGAGGAATTAACTGTGTATACGTCGCAGAAATGTAATTGATTTTAATTGATATGTATGGCATGTTCGTGCTGCTGCTCAGGAGGAACAAATCAATTTGACACCATTCTGTTGATATGAGCCGTCTCTGCCCATTTCTCTCTCAGTTCCTGTGCCTCGGGTCCATTCATTCAGCAGCCAAGGCTGCCTGCCAGCGCAACGCTCGGGGCAGAGGCTCGGGCTGACTGGACGGGGGTGGAGAACATGGCGGTGGTGGGGGGAGATTGAGGCTCTGTAAGGGGTTTTGAGTGGGCCTTAGTGTAGGCGGCGTTTTATATGAAAGTCGGTGAGGGCAGGGTGCTTGAATAGGGGTGGCTGGGAAGTTGGGCTGGGAAGGCCTAGGATGCACCCCACAGTGCTTTTGTGTGCTCTCACATCCGTGTGTGTGTGTGTGTGTGTGTGTGCGCATATGGGAAGGTGGGTGGGGGGTGTAGCATATTTGAGATCATGTGCTCATATTCACCAGTGGAATGTAAAAAGAAAAGGGTGGGAGGGTGGGGGGCTCTCCTCTCTTTTTGCTTCGTTGTTTTCTGTTCCCTCTCCACCACAGCGTAGGTATGTTTGCATAAGCTCTTTACAGGATTCAGCATGCTGTGGAGCCATCCAGATGAAACAAAACCAACCTCATTTGGTTGTTTTGAAAATGATTCTCTTTATTTTGCTTGGTTCAGGCAGATCCACCTCGTTTGACATGAGGGGAATAAAGGCTCTCTCACGTTCAGGGTCATTTCCCAGAAACATTATTTGTATCTGCACAGCTCTTCCTCTGTGCGCTCAACCTTCTTTCATCAACAGGTCTTAAAAAGTCTCCAGACAACATGAATGAAAGATGCAATTCACCCCCACCCCACCGCCAACCCCCTTTTTTCCCTTTTCGACCTCCTCAAAAGTACAATAATCTTCAGTCACTCGTCTCCTCCTCTTCATTGCGTGGCTGTGTGTAGCACCGGAGTGGCGCTGATTAAGCCAACAGAGAGACAAACAGGAGACAAAGTCCCAGCCCACCAGTTTAGTTTCACATCCTGGACTGGAGCTGGGCCGCAGCTTGCCAAGTGGAGGGCTTTTAAACTGGGCTAAACACTAATTGCTGCCCTATTTCTTTTATGTTGCTTCTTTCCCATCTGCGATGGCGCTTCCAGACCTCCACAGCAGCCAGAGCCTCATTATAGCAGACAGTTAACAAAGGCTGGGAAACAGAAGCGGAGAATTCACTTAGGATAGCTATCTAACTGCCAACTAGGAGGCCTGCTTGGAAAATTGAATCAATGACAGGGGCCGGCTCGTGATGAAATCCTTCAGGGATATTAAGATATTAAGATTTTTTGGAAATCTTAATTATTCATCTAAATGGTTGCGGCTCGCTTTGATAACGGAATAAATAGCCTGTAAAAGCGAGGAGTCCAGTGTGAGGCTACTCGTTTTAGTTGCTAGCCAGACTTTTAAATGTTTGAATCAGAACATTTGACCAAAAAAACCCCAAAAATTGCCAACAATTTACCTACAAAGAAAACAGAAACTGCAAGCTACTTGTTGAGTGAAACAAACAGCAGTGTAATCATGATGTTTGCCTCCTCTTTCTCCTTTTCCCCCCTGCTCTGTGGTTTCATGCTTGTTTTTCTGTGTGTGTGTGTGTGTGTGTGTGTGTGTGTGTGTGTGTGTGTGTGTGTGTGTGTGTGTGTGTGTGTGGAGAGAGAGAAGCGAGGGGGAGGATGGAGAAAGGGGTGGTGGTGGTGATGAGGGAAAATCGGAATGAGGGAAATGTTGAGGAGGTGAATGAGAGGGAAGGATAAAGCAATGGGGAATGAGATTGTGGAGTAGAAATAGAGGGGGCTGGGGGGGTAGATGGAGGAATAGCAAGAAGGTGGGGAGGGGAGGGGTGGTCAGTAACAAAGCCTAATGTTGCCATGGAAACTTGTTTATGCCTCACTGATGCATCTTGTAGATCCAATTAGAGACTGATTGTGTCTGTGTCTTCATAGACGTACGCACGTGTAACTGGGCACAGCGCACACACACACACACACACACACACATGCATGAAAACATATGGATGCACGCATACACACAAGTGCACGAGCACACAAGCGCATGCAAATTGTTGCTGCTGAAAATAGGCAGATTGTCGGGAGACGTAGGACAAAAGGATACCCCGAGTTCCCTCTCTCTTATCGGCCCTTGAATTTGCACAACCCCTCCCCTCAACCTCCACCCCCCTGAGCCTCAGACAATGGCGGCCAAATAACGTCTCACCCGCTTCCAAGCGTTGTATAAGACCCCCCCCCCATATACCCACCATCCCACACATGCTTTCATGACATCATATTCAGCCGGGCTGACAGAGAGGATTTCGACCACTTTGCATGTCTCTTATCTTATATCTCATATCTCTTTTGTGAATGAACTCATATGTTTGGTAATGACCCTGTCTGAGATGAATGGCCATGAATGTTAATCCAATCATGTTAATTTTCATGGGGGGGGGGGGGTTTCTTCTGAAGATTGAAGACTTTTTAAAAGATCATTTCTTAGAATGGGTGGGTATTTGCCAGCGTTTAACATCATCAGAGAAAGAAGATTGGTGATCACGCAGCACCACCGCCGTTGCCGCCGCCTCCCCCCAATAAGCTCGACCACACTCGCGCACTTACACTATCAGGCATCAGTTCTCTACTTTCATCCGGGGCTGTCTGAGGAGTCAGTTATTTACTGGTGAAATGATGTGTGTGACGATGAAATGAGGGGCTGTAGATAAGGTGAGATTACACTGTGAAGGGTAAAAAAAAAAGAGGGAAGAGACTGTGAGAGAGAGGGGGGGACAGAGAGGGGCCCAACCCCTGATGTCTTGTTAAAACACAAGGGATCAGAAAAAACAACAAATGCATCGCGCGTTGCTAAATCCTGCTTAAATCCGCTGGCATGGGCAGATCTAGCAGATAGCCCTGCTGCTCTGCTCGCTGTCTGCGCCCATGACACACGCACGCACACACACAGACACGTACACGTACATAAACACACCCGTGGTCAGTCCGGCTGTCTGGGTTAATGCTTGGCTAACTGGGACAGCAGAGTTGAACCATGTTGACATTTTAAGCCTCAAACAAGTCCAGAACAATGATTCAGCCCGTCCAGCCCCCACCCCACATCAGACTGCAACCTCAGCCCATTTTGCTGACCGCACATACACACACACACAGGCAGGCGTGCATAAACATACACACCACTGCCCAAACATACTGCTTAGTACTTGGCGTGTCCCCACCGCCTCCTCTCTTCACATACACTTACAGACAAACACACACTGGGTCTCCTCCTGTTCCCCACCTTTAGTGAATAAAGGAGAACAAGAGCTGATCTGATTGAGTTGGCAGCAGAGAGCGAGGTGGAGAGGTACAGTAAGGCCAGATGGATTATCTTAATCCTTCAGTAGATGATCACGGCAGAGGGGAAGATGAACCGGGAAGCTGTAAGCTCCCAGCAGACCCCTGGTACAATGTTTTCCTCCAGAGATGCAGGCTACTGAAGTAGATGCCATGTGAATACCACGCCGACAGGCTGGTATTATCCAAAACTCAAAAAATCGGAAATTATGAAGAAGCTTTTTTTCAAAAATGTGATGTAATCCGACCCGTACGGCCATTTCTGTGGCGGCCATTTTGTGTCAGGCCATCTTGTTTCCCTTCTCGCAAACTTTTGGTATGCTTTGATTCATATCCAAGTATGAGAAGGAACTTAAGGGGATTTGTGTGAAACACACTAATGCTGAACAATGTCAAGCTGCTACATGTAGTGTTTTTGCGGGGCTAAATTAACTGCACTCTGCCTAAAAGGCCATGCCAGACAAATCTAAACCCATAACTCCGACAGCTCAAAGTATTAAGGCTGTATAAACTGTTGCTGAATTATGCGGCTGCTTTTCCAGACTTAGTTTTTTATGTGTTTGTAACAATTTCTTTTCTTTTTCTCGCCCCCTCCCCACTCTCAGGTTTGTGGCTGGAAAAGGCCTGGTGATTTACCCCGACATCGGGGACAAGCTGGATATCATCTGTCCCAAAGCGGACCAAGGGAGAGACTACGAATACTACAAGTTGTATCTGGTGAAGAGGGAGCAGGCGGAGAGCTGCAGTACAGTCCTCGATCCTAACGTCCTGGTCAACTGTAACAAACCCGAGAAGGACATCAAGTTCACCATCAAATTCCAGGAGTTCAGCCCCAACTACATGGGCTTGGAGTTCAAGAGGAACGTCAACTACTACATCACCTGTAAGTTTGTCGTGAAAGATGATTTATTGTTGATATTTAGCTTTTTAACCTTCATTTAACCGCAGAGGCCCGACTGAACGATCTGAGTAATAATCTCTGCTTCACACTCAGTTACACACAGTCACACCTGGGAGTTTCCTAGGAAAACTGCATTTTAATGGCCGCTGCAGCAGCACCACAGCAGCAGCTAGAGAGCAGAGCGGTATTAGGTGTTTAGGATGGAAATGTTCCATATCATTACGGGACCTTAAAGTGGCAACCTTGACTGACTGCTGAATGTTGGGTTTTTTATTTTTTACATTTTTGTGGTGGGAAAAATAGAATTTTCTGCAGTCGTCTAAAGTCACCGAGTAGATTTACTGCTGCTATTTAGTTCTGCGCTCGGGCACTGTTTCGATATTTCACTTAAAGTTTTCAGCCTGATTCTACTTTATTCTTTCAAACTGCTGTTTTACAGAGAACAACACCACGGTAAAAGCAGCTATATTGCAGTTCCCACTAGATGCAGCGTTTTAGGTTTAAATATTGCTTTTTTGCTAAAACGTCAGTAATAAAATAAACACTTGTCTGTTTCCGTTTTACTGACCGCCAGCTGTCTTAAAAAAGCACAGGAAGCTGTTGACTTATTTATTCTAGCTTTTCCTCGAGCTCATACAGAAGAAAAGGCTTCAAATCTTTTGGAAATCTTTTTAAGCCTGAACATTACTGCCCTTGTTTGGTCTGAGATGACTGTGACAGTGACTTAATACACTGTTTTTAGTTTGTTTAGCTTTGAAGTTTATTATGTTGGACCTCAGTCTTTTATAACATGTATGTGTGTATATGTACTTTACATACGTGCATTTGTGTGCATATTATTATATTTAACCGCTGCTGATTGAAGTTAAATAAAGGTTAATTTAACACAACATAAACAATTAGAATGCAATTATATTATAATAATATGAGGTAATATTTCATTCCATTTCCTAAAAAATAAAAATAAAAAAGTACTATTTTTACTTTTTTTTCTACATGATGGAAATGCAAAAATACAGTGCATTTGTTGCACTCTTATTTTATCACTTCCACTAACTCGAGCGTACCTTTTCATCACCAGAGCGAAACGTTTCAGACAGATGGGCGTGCGATAATGCCAAATTTGTCACAGAGAGGCAGCTGAACATATATGGAGACTTCAGTTTGCAAAGATAAATAAATAGTGAACAGTTTGGGCTTAAATGTAGCTTTTCTTTTACGGAAATGTGTATTTTCTCTGTAATTAGTGCCAAAAGTAAAGTAAAACTGTAAAGCTATTTTTGGGAAATATCCTGGAAAATTATTAAGAAATTACAAACTTGTAGAATTAAAGTTTTTTGCCCTTCCATCTAATGTGTACTTTTACCATATTTTGTTTAGTAATAATGCTTGTGTAGTGTTAAATTTACTTACTAAAAAATTAAAGATTGTAGATTGTGCAAACTTTCCCCTACACATATTTTTTAGACACTGTCAAAATAAATTATTACTGCTTCCTTATTATAGGTGACTATTTTTGCAGTCACGCAGGAACAATAGCAGAGTCTTGCTCTCTGGTTGGCTTTAGGACAGATCTTTTAATTTGTAACCTCACTTGTCTGTCTATGAGTAAAGGACTTTTAGTAGAGGGTGTCAAAGGAACTGGGTCTGTCACTGTACTGGGTGGCGGTTGCTGCCTTTCACACAGATTCCTGCTCGTGTAATTTGATGCCGTAGTAATTACCTCAGAGTTAGCAATGGGTGTAAGAGCTGGAAGGAGTTCTCGTGGTTGGACTGCTCCTTTACGTACTATATTTTCCTTTAAGGATTGAGGCTCAGCAGGGGAAAAAACTGATGGGACCGCGTCTATCTCTAAACTTGGCTGTGTAAATCTGCTTCACCCAAGTGTCTGGTTGAGTAATTTAGCACTGAAGTAATGACCAGTGGTTTAACAGGTGGGGTCAGAGGAGCCGGAAAATCCAGAATCACAGCAGTGTCTGGTTCTTTCGTGGGTTTGAGGTCTTTCTCCTGGAGAATGTAGAAAACCTCAATCCTGTTACTCCGAACCCTGGAAAAAGGTTGACAGGGGGTGACTTAGAAACAAGTCAGACTTTTGGGATCTTGGGCTGAAACGTGCAATTTCAAAATGGACAGGACCATTTTAAACCTGATGGAATAGGAGAAGTTGTCCTGATAATCCTGGAAGATACCAATACCGGTCGGCCGCCTCCTCCTGCTTCTCTCTAAATACATCGAATGCCATGTTTTGGGATTTTAGGATGTCCCTAGGTTCGAGTCATCAGAATTGAAGCTGTTAGTAGTTGTGCATCAAATATAGCTTGCTAAAAATTCAGAGAATGGACTGTGGAGCATCTGGCCTTGAAACCTCATTTATTATTTGTATTTACCTGAAAAACTCACACCTGAAAAACCAGATATAAAGTGCAGTTTTGACACATTTAAAAGATAAAATCATTACGAATTTAAAGCAACTATTATAGATCCTCTTTTGGTTTCTAGCCTTGCCAGCATGAGAAGAGGCTTGGCAACTCCAGTTTAAACTCTCAAAGCCTTCAAAGAGAAACAAAAACAGGGGTTTTATCTCAGGTACTTTACTTCATTGCAAACAGTTTAACATGTAGAGACGGTTGGTTTGTATATGTCTTATTAACTCACTGTCCTTTTGCCGTCCTTCAACACAAGGATTATCATGTCTTCAACAGCCTTAGTTTCTGGCTGACGTTGGAGGAGTTCTATCACTGGTGCGATCTAAAAAAAACATAAAGCATATGATTCACACTTAAATGCACTCTGATAAGACTGCAGCAGACATTCATTGTTAGTTTTGGCTTGGTGGTAACAGTAAATCTCACCTGACATCTTTTAACTGTTGATAAGCCAGCCGAGCTGCAGAGGCAGATCGTGCATGAGCGTATCAAAAAAACAACGTTAATTTGTTTTATTCGGGAAAGTCGAAAGACAACATGCATTTTTACTGTATATTATGTTTGTTTAGAACCACTCTTTAATGCTCTGCAGCCTGAAAGTCAACTAGGAGGAACTCTTGAAGCTCTTATTTGAACTGAGCTGTTTCTGTCATAAGCAGGAATCAGCACAGATGTGCATCAGAAGTTGCACCACCACCACGTCTTTACTGATATTCACTGAGGTTTCAGAACGTCATCAAATGTCGTCTTTATCGGGGAAGGAGCTAATGATTTCAATCTGCAAAAAGATGAAACACTTGCTGTTTTTGTCTTTTTTATGGGATTCTGCACATGATAACATACTGAGCTAATAAAGGAAAATAAGGCCTTGTTTTGCTTACTTAGGCTCTAATTTTATCTTCTGTTAGTATTTATTTTTTTTAAGTTGTCTGACTTTAAAACATTTCTAAAATTAGACGTAGAGTTTTGCTTGATCTTGTCTCAGAAAACAGTCAGTCAAAGTCTTCATTGCATCTGTGATTTATTCTGAAACTATTAGAGATGACTCTGACATTAGAAACACACTGTCTAAACTCATGCAACAAGCTGCCGTATGCCAGAGGATGACTGGCACAATGAGAAATTACTGCAGGAAAACATGGACCCAGTACCAGTCTCCTCTAATGAGGCGTGATACATAACAGTGTTTTATCCAACACATAATTAACTTTTTTTTTATATTTCCAAATATTCACAAAGCACGATTAATCTCCTTATGTTACATTTTTCCCAAATAAGAACATAAGTCTTCCTTGCATGGTTTAACTGTATAAAATGTAACTTTGGGTATAAAACATCTCCAAAGTTCAGATGTGTAGATTTTAGTCTCACAAGTGGCTTCTGTTTTTTTCACACTCTCCACACACACAAATTAAATCGCACATATGTTTCTCTTTTCATGTGTAGCGGTTCAATCGATACTTGCGAACTCCCCCTCACAAACGGGGATGCAGAGAAGCATGAAGCTTGTGATGTTATCAAGGGACGTTTTTAGAGAGGGGTGGGCTGCTGTTGCAACGCATCTCGTGGACTTTTAGAAATATTTCTTTGAGCTTTATTACGCCCACATGTCTTGCAGATAACACCTTGGGCATTTTTTATTTTTATTTTTGGGCGTCTTCCTCAAAGTTTTGCTAACCAGCTGTTTGCAGAGCTTCTCCGCATATTGTCTTCATAAATATTAGAGCGAACTTTATTAATGGCACATGCATCTCCGTGCATCCCGACTGCGGTTTGAGCGAACATCAGCTTTACTTTAGCTCGAATGAGCTTTTCTGCAACGTTCTCTTGTGTCTCTGCTCCATAACAGCATTCCTGCTGATGTGTGTTTTTTTATGTAAGCATTAGGAGCACTTAACACTCTCTCCATAGTGTTTTCTCACAGAAGCAGTTGTAAATCCTTCACGGGGGAGTCTGGTCGTGCAGAATCCAGCCTGATGGTGGATCATTATTAGGCTCATATACTGTAACGTTTTCGTGTCAGCAGTAATCGGATGTAGTATTTGTCTTGGTATTATGGTAATGTTGTTGTCCTTTGCAACAGGAAAAGCTTGTTTTATTTATTCCACCGCAGCCTGTGCATACACCATGACACACTTCATCTATCATTTAGATAATGGCCATGCGTGGCTGGCGCATATGTGTGTGTTATGTGTGCATTTCCTTGAGGGAGCAAGAGAAGTGAGAATAAGCACCTGCATTGAACGCACCGCCTGCTTTACCTGTGCAGCAGTGTGTGTGTGTGTGTGTGTGTGTGTGTGTGTGTGTGTGTGTGTGTGTGTGTGTGTGTGTGTGTGTGTGTGTGTGTGTGTTTTGAGGCCCCCTTAGGCAAGCTTATCCCTGCCTAGAAGATGTGAGTAGGTTATCCCAGTGACTCTGTGGGAATGTGGTCCGGTCAGCCAGCAGAGCGGTGTAAATCTGCTCTGTGTATAATGACCTGGCTTATCTGCTCTGATTAACGGTCAGACGGGAAAGACACCGTTTGAGATCAGAAGAAGACGCACAGAGGAGTGGACA